CGCCGCCGCTGAAGCTGCCGCTCCCAGCCATGCTTAGGGAGCGCGGCCGCCCGCCGCGGGGGCCGCTGCTGCCCACGCGTGAGATGACGTACTGGCCACCCTGCTGCCCCTGCTGCTGCTGCTGCTGCTGCTGCTGCTGGTGGGGCAGCGCCGGAGCCGCCCCGCGCGCCGCGGCAACCGGCCACGCGTGCGCCGGTGCCATCCCAGCGCAGGCGCCCCAGCGGGGCTGCGGCGCGCCGCATGCGGGCGGCCGCGGCGCCGCAGCGGCTGCGGCGACGCCGCCGTGGTGCAGCGGCGCCGGCGGCGGCGACGGCGGCGGGGGCTCCCAGTCCTCGTCGCTGTCTTCGCCCCTGCCGCCCGCCCTCTGCTGCCGCGGGCGCGCCGGGCCGCGCCGCCGCGCCTCGACCCGCGGCAGCCCGTCCCAGATCTGGTGCGCCGCCGCGGCGGCCGTGGCCTCCCCTCCCTGCCCCATGTCAGCCTCATCACCAACATCGTCACTGCTGCCAGCCTCGCCTGGCCCTCCGCCCAGGTCCATCGGCCCCGCTCCTCCCGTGCCAGCCGCCTCTGCCTCCTCCTCCGCCGCCGCCGCCGCGGCCGCGGGCCACGTCGCGCGCCGCGCGATGCCCATCGCCTGCGCGAGCGGCAACTCGTCATCCTCGTCGTCGCTGCTCAGAGGCGCGCGCGGCCCGCCGTCCGCCGCCGCAGCGGCCGCTGTCACAGGCAGGCTGGCGGGACGCTGCGAGGTGGCGAGGTGTGCGAGGGCGCCCGCGCACGCGCCAGGCAGCGGCAGCCGCCGGTGGCGTTTGGACGGCCGGAGCTCAGGGCTGCCGTGGGGCTCGTGTCCCGGCTGCTGCTGCTGCTGCAGGAGCTGCAGCGCCAGCGCCTGCTGCCTCCGCTGCCGCTGCAGGTGGAAGAGCTGCCCCGCCGCCCGCACCCGCGCCTGCTGCTGCTGCTTCCGCCGCGCCGCCGCCGCGCCCGCGAACGCCCGCAGGCCGCTCGGCGCGGCGGAGGGCGCGGGCGCGGCGGCGGCGGCGGCCGCGGGCGCAGGCTTGGGGGCGGGGCGGTCTGCGGGGAGGCGGATCAGCCGCTGCCCCTGCGGCGGCGCGGCGGGGGCGGCGCGCATTTCGAGGTTGAGCGAGGTGCGTGTGCGCGCCACCGGCGCATCAGGCGGCCGCAGCTCTACGCATCGGCTGCGCGACAAGACATCTGCCTGGCGCGGGAGCGCTGGGTGAGCGGGCGGGCGCGCACGCGCGCGGGAGGGCGCGCGTTGCCCGGAGTGCGGGTGTGGAAGGGGCGCGGTGTATAGATGCGCGTGAGGGCCGAATGGGGGGCGCGCGGGGCGCACCTCCACCGCGCGGCTGTTGTGGCGCCAGACCCCCAGGACCCTCTTGCACGACTGGTCCATCAGCTTGTTGTACGCAGCCTGTTGGGGTGACGTCATCAGGACGTCATCGAGGCGCATCATGACATCAGGGCGGTTCCCACCGTGGTTTGCAAGGCGAAGGTGCGCGTGAAGGGGAAAGGGGCGCGTCGGGGAGGGGGTGGCAAGGCGAGCGGCGCCAGCTCCGCAGGCGCGGCGCCCGTGCGGCGGCGGTCCCCATGCGGGGCAGAGAGGCGCCAAGGCCCGTCCGCACTGCTTCGCCCCCGCTCCTCCCCGTGCTCAAAAGACGAGATCGCCGCCTGTGTTCTTGACACAGAGCGCTGCCCAAGCACGCACGCACGCACACACACACACACATACACACACACACACACACACAAGCCCGCACCTCCGGCTCCAGCGCCGCCTGCCGCACAAACTTCGCCAGGTGCCGCCCCGACCGCCGCTGCGCATCCTCCCTGGACGGCATGATCTGCGGCAGCAGCGCCGGCTGCTGCAACTGCCGTCGCTGCTGCTGCTGCTGCTGCTGCTGCTGCTGCTGCTGCTGCTGCTGCTGCTGCTGCTGCTCATCCGAGCCCGCTGGCGCCGCGGGCACGTATGTGTCGCGGTGGACGGCGCCCTCCATCAGCAGCGCCCGCGCCTCCTCTATCGCCTGCATCAGGCGCTGCCGGGTATGTTGAGCGGCGCGGGCGGTGGCAGGGGAGGGTTGTGAGCGAGGGGCAGGGGAGGGGAGGGCCGGGCAAAGGTCGCACGCCCCGGGTCGAGCGCGCGCGGCGCATCTGACAACCAGGGGCGGCCGCCTTCCTGGGAATGAAACAGGACGCGAGCAGGGGCGGTTCCATCCAGAGATCACGGCGGCAGGCAAGGACAGCGGAGGCCCGGCGCTCGTGGCGGGGGCGCCGGCACACCTTGTCATGGAGTGATGTGGGTGACAGGAGACGGCTGAGGTTGTCCCGCGTGAATGGCAGGATCGCGCCGGTCTTCACCAGGGCGGCGGTGTTGTCAACCAGGAACACAACCTAAGGGGGCGGCAGGGGAAGAGGCGTTTCCCGGATGCAGCAGGGAGTGTTGTTGTTATGTACCAGTGGGCCAGGCGGGGGCGTCTCCGCGGGCGCGCGGCAGCGCGGGGACCGGACGGGGCGTGGGGCCTGCGCGCCTGCTTTGTTGTGGGGTCGTCGTCTTGCACGGTTTTGGCGGGCATGATGACGGCCGGCCACCTGCGCGGGCGTGCGGCGGCGCGCGAGCGGGGCCATTGTGTTGACATTGGCCAGTCGCGGGCGGCTGGGGCCGGTTGGCAGCGGGACGACCGCCGCCGGTGCGGCCGCGCGCGGCGGCGTGGGCGGCGGAAGCTGCGTGCGCGGCGGCCGCGCCGTGTGTGCCGCGCGAGGTGCGAGGGGCACGCGCTTGAAGATGAGTGCGTGGCGTCCGCCTCCCTCCCCGTCGATACATGGGACAGAGGACAAGGCTGCTACGCACCAAGGCCAGCCCGAGACCTTGGCCCATGCGATGTCATCCTATACATGAGTGACGTGCGCGCCACTGTGAGGTGCAATGCGTTTCGCTTGGCGCGTACTGGACGGGCCAGAGATCCTCGGCCGCCATGTGCGTCGCGCGAAGCGCCACAGCGGGCGCAGCGCAGCCCTGCGCCGGGCCTTGCCCCACGCGCTGCAGCAGCCTCAAGCCTTCATTGCTCATCCTCAATGCTATTGGCTGCATAACCTGACTTTGCGCTTTCCGGCATGCCCAAGAGCCGAACTCCTGGCCCGCCTGCACTACGCCCATGTAAGAGCGCTCGGAATCAATAATCTTACCGGTGCAATTCTGGTCAGCATGGCGCCAAAGTTCCTCCTTGTGGCGCGAAGCGGGCTGCGATCACTCACTGCTGACGCTGCGCGCCTCCTCCAAGCATCGCGCTGCGAGTACTAGATAGACCACTTTTGATCATTTTGTTCCCAAGTGAGCATGCTCGCAGGACGACGGAGATGCGTTGATCGGCGCGAGGTGACAGAGAGCGGATTGCAGGCTCGTGCACGCCGTGTGGTACTCCTTGCAAGACTCGTGTTACAAGTCATTGTCCATTGGGTGAGGCGCCTTGCAAAGATGCTGATGGCGCTCCGCCCGCCAAGTCGCCCGACACCCTTGACATTTCGAGTTTGTGCGCCCCGCTCCTGGGTGCGTCACGCCCACTGTGCTCGCCCCAAGCGCATCCACCGTTCCCGCATTTAGCCGCCTGCCAATAGTAGCAAAGCGCCGCCAGGGCTTGGTGCCCGCGACTCCCTGCATCCTCGCGGCCGCAGCTGCACCTGGGGCCGGTCACACTTTGAGACAGCCTGAGGCATGTGGCGCACACTAACGCGCACATGCTGCCAGCTGGCACGCGTGATAAGCGGGGCGACGGCAGTTTGGGGCCGCGCAGGGAGCTCGATCGGCGCCTTGCATGCGGTCTCCCAGATCATTGCGGTTGCATCACCTGCACGCTTCCTGCCAGCCTGCGACAACCGGGAACCGACCGGAAAGCCTCACAGCATCGGCCGCGTTGCCATTCTAGCGCTTGGCATGCCTGAAATATAGTACAGTACATGAAGGGGCGAGTCTCATGTGGATGCGGCGTGCTGGGCGCCTGCGTCGCTCCGCCATGCCTGGGCGCGCGTTCACACCTTTCCACTATGGATAGGCACTCATAAAGCAGCTGCAAGGCAGCAGCAAATGCAGCTAAAATCACAAGCAACAGCAACCCGCACACAGGCAGTGTTGGGGCAGACCAGAGTTTCAGCCGTTGCACCGAGCGTTGGGTGACGCGAGCGCATGGGGTGGAGGAGGGGGCGGCGCCTGCTGCGCGGCATGATCAACAAAGCATGTGCAGCGCATGATGTTGTGCGGTCAAGTGCGCCTCTAGCATGGCTTTCAGCATGTAGGCGCAGCGCGCCCCTGCGCGCCTGCCTCCTCTGGTGGTGCAGAGGGGCGCAAATCAGCCTGGACAGTCGCTGCTTGTGATGGATTCGTCAGTAAAAGTGCATTTGTTGTTTTTCAAAGCATCAAAAGAGAGCGCTGTGTGCAGTCGGATCAGTCGCCCGAAAAAATGACGTGACTCATTGACGCACTCACTGCTGCATGCAGTGGACCTGACATGATACTTTCTGACGACAAAACTTACCTGCCTCGTTATCCAGGGCGCGCCTCGTGCCAACGGCCGACGCATCACCGCTTCCGCACCTGTCGGCGATGGCATCCGCCCAGCAGCCCTCGTCGCAGCAGGCCACTGATGGTCCCTCCCCAACAGCCCTCCCAATCGACGCTCCCGTGTGGGGCCCTATAGTGGCCATCCTATGCGTTGTGATCGGCAACATTTTGTGCGCAGGTACGGCTCCGCGCCGCCGCAGCGCGCGCCGCCGCTTTGCGCCGCCCGCCACGCTGCGCTCGCGGGTCCAGCCCCCAGGCAGCATCTCCCCACGCCCTATCCCCTGAGTAACCGCCACTGCTCACTCCCCCACCTTTGTGCCCGGCCCTGCAGCCGGCAACGAGAACAGCTGGGCTTGGCGGCGCCTGGCGCCGCGTTGGCTGCCGAGGCTGCTTTTCATCAGCAACCGCGCGCCGGGCGTCTCCAGGCGCGAGCGGCCGCGCGGCTACTGGGCGATGGACTTGATCGATCCGGAGCACCTGGTGAGATTAGAAGGCTTTTGGATGCCGTTCCCCTGCTGTTTTGGGGATCGTCAAATCTGATCGTTGGCGTGAGGAGTGGGCCGTTGAGGGTGCAATTCGTTGCGTATCCAGGCCCTGCAGGGTCGACCGTGTGGGGGCGGCTGAAGAGCCCCATAGGGCCCCTGCGGCGGGGCGTGCGGGCACGAGGGTGTATGGGGTGGTGGTGCCTCCGGCGGAAAAAGTAACCCCCATAACAGCAGCAGGGGGCCCGACAGCCTCGGCAAGTTTCAATTCACAGCGGTTTGAAAGCACGCGCGCCAGGACTGCATCGGTACTGGCGTGTGGCCTGGCCTGGCACGCATGCGGCTTTCAAGCGGACCCAGGCAAGACTCAGGCCAGGGCAGTTTTAGGATCAGATCTTGTCCGGGATCTGCTGGGGTCGATCCGATGATAGGGATTTGGGATCCAAAGGGGTGCATTTCGCCTGGTCTGGGATCGGTCACCAACCTTGGAGGCTCTTGTGCCCACAGTCTGGGTGTTGATAGCCGTCCTCCCGTCGAATGGCTCGGCTGGTCTGCTTGCTGCAGGGATATTGACGCTTCAATTGTGCCTGCCTCCCCCGCCCTCTCGCCCCGCCTGTTTCCACCCCGCGCCGCCGCCGCGCCCGCCGCCGCCGCCGCCGCCGCCATCCTCCGCAGGTGGGGTCATTCTGCCTCAATACACCAATGCTGGTGGTGCTCCACGCCTTCACAGTCGTGTATTTTGCCGCATACGTTGTGGTGCGCACCCTTATAAGACAGCCGCAGCCGCAGCAGGACTCTGCAATCACAGGGCAGAGCGGGGCCGTGGCAGGCGGACGGCGGCCTGGCAGGCTCGCACGCGGGGCAACCAGCGCGCCGCCGGCCGGCGTCGGCGGCACGTACGTCGGTATCAATCCGCGGCGGCAAGGGCGGCGGCGGGCGCGCGCGTCTGTGCGGCGGCGGCCGCGGCGGGGCTCGCTGCTGCAGCCGGCTGCGCACTGCATTCTGGTTCTGGTTCTGACTGCTAGCAAATCGAACCTCCTCGGCCCTCGTGTGCCCCGCAATCATGAATCAGATCAATTTGCTGTATTACTACGGGACGTTCCCCAACGACTCCCCCAAGGGGACCGGCCCCTACGGCCAGTGGCTCAGCTACTTCACGGTGAGAACTTTGAGCTGAAGGGCGAGAGGCATTCGCCCCACGCTCCTGCCTGCGGCCCCGGAACTCGGCTTGCGCCAGCCCTGTGGACACTGAGCGCGCTGATGTGGAGGCGTGCGCGCCGCCGCGCTGGGCCGCCCTGACGCGGGCAGTGCGGCGCCCCAGCCGGCGGCGCGGCACAGCGGGGCGTTCAGCCCGCAGTGTCCACGCCTGCGCTCCTTTGCACACGCCCCAGCCTCCTCACACAACCCTCTCCCCGCGCAACCGCGTGCACCTTGATCACGCCCTTCCTCCGCCCCTGGCCCCTTCTGCCGGCCCCGCCGCCGCTGCCCCAGAACTGGTGAGGCCGCACGGCCGCCTCGCGTCTGCGAGGGTCTGGTGCCGCCAGCGCGCAGAGCACTGTCCCCTCCAAACGCAGCCCGGCACGAATCAGGGCATAATTCAATTCCAAAAACCGCCCCGGCTCAGCGTTTTCCGAGGGCCCCTGCGCAGGGCGACTGCGCGCTTGCTGCGGGCGTCGCGTCCCGCCGCACGTGCCCCCTCCAGGATGCTTGCACGCGCACAGACTGGACCTCGCGCCTGATTGCTCTCACCTGCTCGGTGGCATCCGATTGTGAACACAGACTCTTCGCATTGGCGGCGGTTTTGTTTTCCGCAGGTCCATCACTCTGCTCGGCGCCGCGGGGTTTGTGGCGCTGGCCAACACGCTGCGCCGCCTCGGACGCGAGCGGCGCGCCAAGCGCGAGCGCGCCCTGTCCCTCGCCGGCGGCGGCGCCGGCCGCCGCACGGTGACGGGCGGCGCGGCGGCGGGCGGCGCGCCTTTGCGCCCGGCTGATGGGGGCCGTGCTGGGGCCATCGGCGGCGGCCAGAAGGCGGGGCTGTTCCCGGCTGGACGGCCCTACGCCAATGGCAGCGGCGGCGCGGTCGTCAACGGCGGCGGCGGCGGGGCGCAATGGGACCAAGCCGCCGGCCGCAACGGCGCGGCCGCTGCGGCGCCCGGCGGCGGCGGAGCGGCGAGCGCGGCGGGCGTGCGGGGCATGGCGGGTGCGGGGGCGCTTGGCAGGGGAGGGGCGCTGGCGGGTGGGCAGGAGCAGGGGTGGCCGACATACCCTGTGGCAGTGCCGCGCGAGGAGGTGAGTGTAGGGCATGCTGACTGTGCGTGTCCGGCCGCTGGGGAGAGGACCACCCTGCCCACCTGCTTGCCGGCTTGCATGTGCACATGTGCGCGTCAGAGAAAGGGCGGAAGGGGCAAGATTGCAAAGGAAGGCGGATGGGGATTGTCAACGTGTGTGCTCGGGCATGCACACGCATTGGGGGCCTTTTTGGATGTGGGCTCGATCCTCAGTGGTCCTGAGTCAACCTGCCCAGCCACCCTTCAACCCCGCCCCGCGCCCAGTGGGACTGGCTGTCCGTCTCCCACTGCTTAGTCATGGAGACCGCCACGTCATCGGCCTTCGTGGTGACGCTCTGGTGCGCGGGCTTTCAACCCACTTTTTTGCACCGCGCGGCGGGGGCCCGCACACACGCACACGCGCACGCGCCGCGCTCCCTTGCGTCGCCCGAGGCGCAAAGGCAGCCTCCTGTTGCCTAGCTCAGCATACTCGGTACGATGGCGGGGTGCAGCTCCGGTGGGGGCCGCCACCCAGCTTTGCTGGCCCGATCTGCATACGCGCTAAATTCTGGCGACGAGTGCGTCTCGCCGCGGCTGTCACGGTCGGCTCTGACGCCCAAACGCACACGCAACCAGGTACTGGGGCGGCTTGGTTGCCGTTGTCGGCGGCGGATTCCCGGTGGACGACGCCAGCAACTACCTGGCGCATGCGGGTGCGCGCATCGCTGCGGGGACGCGCTTTGCACGGGCGTGCCTGCCAGGTTGTTGTTGCTGCGCGCTGTGTTTGCATTACAGCAGAGAGCTTGGGCGTGCGTGCGAGCATGGCATGCACGCCTGGCCTGCGTTCTTTGGGGATTCCTTTTGGTCGCGGCGATTCAGCGAGGGGCTTGCCGGCTTTGCTTGATCATAGGAGTGGGGATGCAACAGTCAACACCTGGAACCTGCGGCACACACGAGCTCGTCTACTCGCCGTACGCTTGCATTCGCGGGCGCACCGTCCGGCGCAGGCAATGTGGTTGTAGCGGTCCTTCAGGTCCTGTTGACGCGGCTGCCCTTTGTCTCGTACCACTTCCAGGTGTGTGTGTGTGTGTGAGTGTATGGGTGTGTGTGTTATGTGTGTGTACGTGTATGTGTGCGCCAAAATGTGCGCGCACGCGTGTGTGCGCGCGTATGTGTGTGTGGTGTGCGTGTGTACACGCGCGCACGCGTGCGCACGCGTGTGTGTGTGTGTGTGTGTGTGTGTGTGTGTGTGTGTGTACACGCGTGTGTGTACACGCGTGTGTGTGTGTGTGTGTGTGCACGACACGCGGGCGGGCGGGCGCGCGGAGGAGAGCGTGCTTGTCTTGGATTTCAAGAGGTGTGTGTGGATTGGGATGGGGCACGAGCTGCGGCAGGGCTGCGATGCGCAGGTGTTTGGACTAGCAGGACGGGGCTGCTTGGCGCCTGCTCAAGCAATGGATTCCAGGGCAGTGCTCAGATATGGGGCACCGCAGCCCCCCCGCCAGCCGACCGGCCGCTCTGCTCTGCGCGCGCTCGCGCCGCGCCAGCGGCTGCAGCAAGGCCGGGGCATCCCCCGCCTAGCAGACCTGCAGGCACCCCCGTAGCTGGTGCACCCGGGCGCGAGCCCCGGCCCGCGCACGCAAACCGTGCGCGCGCCGCTTGCTCGGCACAATCGCTACTTCCCACTCCCCGGCACCCGAGCGGTCCTCGAGACCCCACCTCACCCAAAACTCTATGCCCAACCCCTTCCCCGCCCGCACGCCATTGAGGGCGAACCTCACGCACACTCCCTTGTGCACCCACCCCGTGTCCGCCCTCTGTCCCCGCCCGCGCAGCTGCTGCTGCTGTGGGGCACCCTCTACCTCGTCTTCCTCTGGATTTATGGCGCATCAACAGGCATCTGGCGTTACGGACTCAACATCCAGTCCGCCCGCGCAGCCGGCGCGGTCGCGCTGCTGCCCGCGATCTGCTTCGTCACCTGGCTGATCTGGTTCATGTTTGCAAAGCTGCGGGAGGCAGGAATATGCGCGGGGCGGCGGCTCGTGGCGATAGCAGAGG